AGCAGCTTGGAACACTGCTCTCCCCTCCTTCATTGTCTAACAGCCACCCCCGTGAGGTAGGCCAGGCCCTAGTAGAAGAAGTGGGGATGAGCCTTGCAGGCTGCCCTTACCCCGCTGCTGCCGTCCTGGGCGGGCTCGGGGGGAGTCCTGCCGCCTTCGCTTCTCAGCCTGAGAGGGGAACAGAGAGAACATCAGGAGAGGAACCTGAGAATCACTTCTGGGTCACGAGCTGCATCAGGGGAGGGGATGGCGACTGCAGAGAGAAGGGAGGGTGTGTGGAGTGGGGAGTGGGGGGCGGCTGGAAGTCCCCCTACCCACTCTGAGCAGAGATCCCCTCCCAGCCCCGCTTCTGCCTTGGGTACAGTCGTCTCGTTCCTTCCTTCTCCCAAGCGCAGCTTTCCGGTTCTTCTCTACGGACTCCACAGGGGAGAAAAACTACAGTTCCCATAGTTCCTGTGGGCAACTGAAAGCCCCGGCAGACTGGTCGGCCTCAGCCACAGAGCATGCGTGGCTCCTGAAGGCCCCTGCCTCTGGCGCTCCTGCAGCTTTTCCACGGGGAGAGAACCCCGGCACACCACCGGAAGTGGCTTTGGACACCTGCCGGCCAGTGCTCCCTCTAAGCTGTGGAGTCTTGTGAGCAAAAATTCTGCCTTGTGAGCTACTGGGATTAAAGTTGTGAGCGAGCGATTTGGCTACTGTATAAATTAGTTTGCTCTGGAGCCATCCTTCCTGAGCGAGGACAGAAACGTGTGAGCTGGAAGCTAAAAAACTGTGAGCTAGCTCGCACTAACTCAGCTTAGAGGGAACACTGCTGCCGGCCCACAATGGGACCACCAGGTGTAGTCTACCCCTCAGGGAAACCTGACGTGCCTCCAGCCTAGAGGGCAGAGGCACACACACACACAAACACACACGCTCTCCCCGGGGCACACTACCTGGGTCGCGCGGGAACTGTCACGGGGAAGCTGGGCACATAGCTGCTGGGAGGCAAGTTGCGAGGGGAATGCCTGGCCGGCGCAGGGCCCCAAAGCTCTGCCGTCCTGTCCGCTGGGCCCCAGCGCTGGGCCCTCTCCCCTCTGCCGCCTCCACGGTCCTCGATCTTCCCTCGCTCGGAAAGGCCGGCCTCAGTCTCTCCTCGGTTGCTGGGGGGATTCGGCTGGATGCGCCTGGCGGCTGACGGGTTGCCCCGAGAGTGGCTCTGGCGGACGGGCTGGGGAGGCCTCTGCTGCCTGAACTCCTCCAGGTACTGAGGCAAGAGGTCCCCTGAAGCGGCAAGGAGAAAAGGCCACCTGAAGCCAGCCTAGCAGTGTAAAGGAGCGCGGAGCAGAATGCAAAAGCCCTCATGGAGGAGGCAGCACGCGGGCCCCACTGGGCAAGCTCTGCACCAGGAAGAGAGGGCAGGGCGGCCACTAAAACACCCGACCAACATTGGTCAATTTCCCTGGCCACCATTCAAATATAACCACAAGTTAAAAAATGAATAGGACGTGTTGCATTAATGCAAGGTAAGGTTCCCCTCTACAACTACACAAGTCTCAACTGCAAAAATATTTGTCAAAGAGAGATTTCATATCAGCTGCTTTCAACATTAAGTGCAGCAACATCTGTTTTGCCATTGCACCAAAAATTACACCAAGATACACATTTCAATTCAAGTAAACTCTGAATGCTAACAAATGACACAACATTTTTGTTCTTGTTTTAAAGGTACACTAACAATTATATAAACGTTCTATCTAAAGTGGTTGGGAAAGGGCATCATTGAGTTCTACTCGTATTCTGCCACTTCTCTATTCCAGTTGCCACAAGAACTCTTGCAGCAGCAGCAGGTCAAAAATCCACTGCTCCAATATATTTTAATCACCATTTTCCTGACTTTCCCTGACTTCAGACCAATTTCCCTGACCAATTTTCATTTCCCTGGCTTTCCCGAAAGTGGCAGCCCTCGATGGATGCTGGAAGGACAGCCCAGCTACTGCAGCAGGCTGTCCGCTCTGAAGCACTGCAAGCGGCACGAAACACGGCCAGGAGGAGAGAAAAACTGAGCTGGAGACTTCAGCCCCCGCTCGCCCCCCACCCTGAAGCACACACGGCCCTGTCCCCTGTCCTGTGGCAGCAAACAGTCTCCACAAACGAGGGGTGTCCCTTCTCTGAGAAAGGAGGCGCCTCCCTTAGTCCCCGGAACTCCCAGCCAAGGAAGCCGGCTCTTCCCCCCGTCCCACCCTCTACTGCTCACGCAGCCATACCTTGGTGGCGGACACGCCTCCTCAGCAGGTCCAGCGGGTCTGTTCTCTCCGCATCTCCCCTGGCTGGAGACTTTGGTGGTGTCGGGGCTCTTCCCGTGGCCGGACGCAGGTCACACTGGTCCTGGGGGGGAGACCGGCGGCCGGTCATTCGGGGACCTTCTCGGAGCCCAAAGGGCCGCCGAGTCTGCGGAGTGAGCTGGCCACCCCATTCTGCGAGGCCGGTCGGACTCTGCCTAGGGCCTGCCGCCGTACCTGGTGGTGGAAGAGGACCTCTTCTTCCAGCTGGACCCCGCAGAACTCGCAGGGGATGATGACGCTGCCCCCGGAGTCCGGCTGCAGGGTGCAGGTTTCCCTGTCGCCGGACGGATCCCTCTGCAGCTGCTCCCACAGGTCTGTCAGGCGCTCGTCCGGATCTTGCCGAGGGAGGGAGGAGCTCCTCTTGCTGAAGGAAGCCAAAGCGCTTGCCGGGCTGCAGCCCGTCTGCCACGTAGACAAGCGGGGGGGAGGGGGGGGGAGAAGCGTCAATTAGTGCCCATCTCGTAAGACCCCCATGGCAAGTAAGAGTTCCACCCTACCCGACAATAGTGTTCCCTCTAGGCTGAGTTAGGTGTGAGCTAGCTCACAGTTTTTTAGCCTCCGGCGCACCCATTTTTGTCTCAGCTCAGGGAGGAGGGCTCCAGAGCAAACTGATTTATGCAGCAGCCAAATTGCTCGCTCACAACTTTAATGCCGCCCGAGGAGCTGCGCCTTCATCCTCTCTGGCTGCCTGTCCCCCGCTCATCTTCCCTGATGAGAACGACGCACAGCAGAGAGGCTTCAGGCAGATGATGACTCTCCGTGCAATACGAGGGGAGGCCACGGCGGCCCCTCCGCCTTGTGAGCACCCAGAGCCTTTGGCGGAGCTGGAAAGACTAACCTGATGAAGGATCAGATCTTCCTCCGGGTACAGCTCCTCACAGAATTCGCAGGGCAGCAGAGTTTCAACTGCAAGGTGAAGAAAAGCAGGATTATCCATTCACACGTACCCCACTGCACCCGTCAAGCAGACTCGTCCCGAATCTCCCATCATTTCCATCGTATACGGGCCTGCAGAGCACCAGATGTGAGTCCAGAAGCACCTCAGAGACCAGCAAGTTTTTCAGGGTAGGAGCGTTTGAGAGTCAATGCTCTGCACGCACTCTGAGGCTAACACGCAGGGAGGCGGACTACCCGTCTTCCCATTGGACGGTTGAGGAATCAAGGCCAGCTGACCGGGAGTTGCCCGGGGCCAGCCCGCAAGATCTGGCAGCAAACAGGTTCGGGGACATCACTCTGAAGCGCGAGTTCAAAATTGCATCCACTGAAGAAAATGGACTCTGATGCGCAAGGTGATTTCATGTCAATCCCCACCACACACCAAAAGAACAGAAGGTGCATGGGGGGGGGGGGATCAGAGCAGGAGAGCACTCTTGTCATGGCTCAGCTGGGGTGTCACCTGACGCTGCCACCACTCTGGATTTAGGTTCCCTTGAGAAGGCCCAGAGCACCCTCCCAAGACCTTCAGACCTCCTTTTTGGCCGAATAACAGGCGTGAGGACCAGGCAGAGTGAAACAAGGAAAAGGTTTATTTTATAGGAGGTCAAACGAGAAGGTGCAGAATAATAACAGTAAGTGGGTGAAAAGAAATCAAACGCCCTAATGCATCTAAATATAGACTGTCCCTAGCTCAACATCTGCAGTGGCCTTAGACTACTCATCCTTCCCTCTGGATGAGGGTCTCTTCCCTGCAGCAGCCTTCCTCTGGCTCTGCCCTCTGGAATAAAGAACAGCTTCTGCTCTGGCCCCAGCCCTTTTGTTCCCTAGCCCTCTTCTTCCCTATTGGTCAATTTTGGCTCCAAAACCTCTCAGGGGCTTCTGGGAGTTGTAGGCCCAGCCTCCCCTACTGCTAGCCAGGCTCCCTGGGCCTAGTAGGCCTCTGGTGGCACAGCCCAGGTCGTGACAACTCTCTACGTCCCTTCCCGTGTATATCTTCTTTGCAGCCACGTCTCCTTGACTGCAGGCATCCACTCCACGGTCAGAAGTTATGCCAGGGAGCATTTTTGCTCCAACAAATGGTTTATTATTTATTTATTTGTTTGATTGATTTTTTTTCACCCCGCCCCACCCCACCGAGGTCCCACCACGTCCCCTTCCTTGGATCCGTTTCTCCAATGGCAAGTGTGACCGTACCTCACAAATGGCAATGAGAAACGGTGGCACAAAGGTGGCAGCGGAGGCCAAAGGAGGCGCCCCTTACTGGACAAAAGGCAGCCGATGCTCCAGGACAGAGCAGAGCGCCTCACGAGAAGATGGTAGCAGCTCTATGCAAACCCAGCTGGGGTGGGGCAAGGCACGGAAGGGGTTAAGAGAGCAACAAGGCTCTGAGGAGGGAAGGGGGGGTGCTGGGCTTGACCGGCATGGGTGGAGCCCTGAGGATAAAAAGGGCAATGTCAGAATGGAGGGGGGGCGGGGGGGGAGATCAGGGATGCATTCTGGCTGAGCAGGGCTGAGTAGGTGGGAAGGAGGAAGACAGAGGGACCTGGAGGAGGAGCTGGGGACTGGGGCAAGATTTATTAATTTATTTATTATATTTGTATCCCACCCTCCCCGCTTTCGGCGGGCTCAGGGCGGCTAACAACGTAGGTATAAACACATTAAAACTCCAATACATACACTAAAACCAACATTCCATTAAAATGGCAATATAAACTACAAATGCACTGCACATGGCTATAATACAGATGACGACAGGTAAGTGGCAGCAAGGAAAGAAGGGTAGGTAAGTGACACGTGAGAAGACACGGATCACTGGAGAAGACGATACTGCTAGTAAGAAAAGAAGAGGAGCCAACGTGAGATGGATTTGGCTCTAGAAAGGAAGCCACGGCCACCCATTCGCAAGACCTGAGCAAGGCCCGCAGTGATAGGATGGTTAGACAGTGTCATCGATGCAACGAACATGAAGTTGAGCCAACTTCAGAGGACGGCAGAAGACCGGAAGGCCTGGAGAGAGCTCGTCCATGGGGTCGCGAAGAGTCGGACTCGACTGTGCGACTGAACAACAACAAAAATTTCATAGGGCTGCAAAAATCAGAAGCGACTTGAGGGCACTGAACACGCACACACACACACACACACACACACACGCTACAAGCGTGCCATTCTTTATGGTCAGTTTGAAAACGGGCCCTCATTCCGTTGCCCCTGGCAACTGCCAATCACCAGTAGGGGACCGGGTAGAAAGTCCTGGCGAGTTGGAAGAGGGGAGAGACGAACAACTTCTTAGTCTAAGGGAGAGGCACGAAATCTGACACCTTCCTACTTTGAGCAGAGGCAACCCGACTAGGACAGGCCTGGTGGAACCACCGCAGGGGGAGAGAGGCCCAAGCGAGGGCACCTCGTGGGACAGCTCAGTCCTGAGACTCGCGACACTGCCACCACTCGAGGTGAAATCCAGGCTCTCTGGGGACTGAAGCCCCACCCGTTCCCGATGGTCATCTGTCTCCTTTCTGCCAACGGTTCTCACTCACATAGGGCCCGTTTCTGGATTAGGTCCCTGTTTTCCCCGCCCCGCCCCCTCAACTTATTACCTCCCCCGCCAAAGTTACAGTCTTTGCGGGCTTCCTGTCCTTCGTTCTGCCAAGCTCCCAGAGCCCACGCCCAAGCACTCCACAACCCGTGGCAGCGACGCATTCTTCGTGTGCGACTACTAGCCATGCTCACCTTTTGACTTGTTGGGCGGGTTCACGGATCCCGGCAAGTCCTGAGAGAAGACACTGAAGTCATTCGCCCCGAGGGAATTGCCGGTGGTGCTAGTTCTCGTGGGGCAGATGTTCTTCCAGAATTCCCGCTGGAGCTCTGCCGCGCTGCGGTCACGGGCAGAGCCGTCACGCTGCAGGCTCAGGGCCAAGAGGTAGTCCAGGTGGCAGTCGGGTTCTCTGCCACTGAAGGCCGAGGTGTTGGTCGTCTTCTCCGGGCGATCTTCACGGGGAAGGAACACAACCGGCTGTTAGACATACGCAGTAGTGCTTTCGGCCGAACCACTGGGACAGTCTTGGGAGACACGTGATGCGCCAGCCTTCCAGATGTGTTTCTGGTTCACTGCGAGGGGCTGGTTCTGACCTCTGCAGCTGGCAGTCAGCCCCTGCTTTCCCTTCCCTCTTTGAAAGAGGTCGGGACAGGTCCAGCCCCGCCAAGAGCATCCTTGAAAATAACCCTACCATTCCGGAACAGGCTGCCGGAGAGCGACACCGTCGATTTCACTAGTATACGTTTATTGCCTTAGCCATAGGCCACAACATAAGACATCAGGTCATAAAAGGGTAATGTAGACAATAGAAAAATATCAGTATACTCCTATACGACTTCTACTTTGCCTTAAATACTAAACTCATTCTGATTTTCCTTGTTGCTAAGGCAAACAACGCCATCCTGCTAGAGACATAGTGGTCAAGGTCGGAGAGTAAAAATTTGACAAGATCCAGATCGGAGAGTCCATTACACTGCGGAATAATAGGGATGATGTACTTTAGCCTAAGGGCTTCATGCCACGGGGATCTCAGAATATAATGTACAATACCATCAACTTCCCCCATATCACAAAGGCAAAGACTAAGGGGGGTAGGGATACCAAAGAAACGTCGAGTCCTGATCAAGGAGGGCATGGATTGAAATCTTAAAGCTGTAAAAGCCGATCTTCATTCCAGGCTGGTTAACTTCTCCAAATACAGGGACCTACAGTGATCCCTTTTAAAAAACTTGAATAACGGTGCCGTAAGACAACGTGCCATCACACCCTGATCCATACGCCCATCCTTTTTGAACACCCATTCCTTCAGTTCCCGTACTTGGGTTTTATTCCTTAATAGATCATCAGGAACTGAACATTTCAATTGAATTGCGGCCAACTGGTCACCTAATCTCTTGGAGGCTTTCAGGTGCAAACTAAAACTTAAACCCCCCAGGGAATCCTGCGGTCGTTCTAAACATTTTCTCCAATAGGATAGAATTCTGACATTGACTCTGGCATTCAACCGTTTCACACTCAAGAGAAATGCACAAGGCGGAGTTATTTAGGAGGGCCTGGGGCCAAGGAGGGCTTACAGGAGAAGAAGAAGAAGAGATTGGATTTATACCCCATGGCCCTTCACTACCCGGAGGTGTCTCAGAGCGGCTCACAAACTCCTTTCCCTTCCCCTCCCCACAACAGACACCCTGTGAGGTGGGTGGGGCTGAGAGAGCTCTTGACAGAAACTGCTCTTCTTCAAGAACAGCTCTTATCAGAACTACAGCTTGCCAAGGTCGTCCAGCCAGGTGCAAGTGGAGGAGTGGAGAATCAAACCCGGTTCTCCCAGATTAGAGTCCACGCACTTAACCATGACACCAAACTGGCCCTCAAATGTTCTTGTGGATGGTTTGCTTTCATTATGGCACAGAGGAAATGCAGACCCCTTTGAACTGGCGGCAAAACTGGCATAATAAGACTGGATAAATACATTGCTGAAGCTAAACAAATCCAGTCACTGCCCAGAGGGGAGCCACCTTTCCATGGGAGGGAGGGACAGAGGGGACTTATGAATAACACGAAAGGGATGTTTTTATCATCATCGTCATCCGACATTGCATCTGTAAGGGTAAAATCAAGCAGCACAAGTGCAAATGCGGGGAGCTGATGAACTTGTGCAAAGACTTTCCTGGGACTCCCGGGAGGGACCTGCTGGCCTCCAGCCGCTTTGGCCTTCACGGCGGACCTGACTCTGGGATTCACGACCCACCAACATGCTGCCAGAAGCAATGCTCCCTCTAAGCTGTGGGGTCTCGTGAGCCAAAATTCTACTTTGGGAGCCACTATTCATAAGCCTTGCCACTAAGCAGGGTCTGTGCACACAAAAAGAGGGGGCACCCCATCTGCAGCCTAAGCCCCATTCCTTGAACCGGCGGCCTCTGACCTCTGGGTCGAACCCTCCCCTCAAGCGAGTCGCAAACCCCCTCCGGAACAGCCACCTTCTTTGCAACCACTGCCGCTTCTGCCTCTGCACGGAGAGCCAGCATCACACCTCTTCAGGCAGGAGAGGAACAGCCAGGCAGATCCCAATGCTTGGAGTCTGGCTCCCTCTAAGCTGAGTTAGCGTGAGCTAGCTCACAGTTTTTTAGCTTCCGGCTCACACATTTTTGCCTTAGCTCAGGAAGGAGGGCTCCAGAGCAAACCGATTTACACAGCAGCCTAATAGCTCGCTCAAAACTTTAATGCCAGGAGCTCACAAAGTAGAATTTTTGCTCACAAGACTCCACAGCTTAGAGGGAGCATTGCAGTGTTCCCTCTAAGCTGAGTCAGTGTGAGCCAGCTCACAGTTTTTTAGCCTCCAGCTCACACATTTTTGCCTTGGCTCAGGAAGGAGGGCTCCAGAGTGAACTGATTTACACAGCAGCCCGATTGTTCGCTCAGAACTTTCATGCCAGGAGCTCACAAAGGAGAATTTTTGTTCACAAGACTCCACAGCTTAGAGGGAGCATTGCAGTGTTCCCTCTAAGCTGAGTCAGTGTGAGCCAGCTCACAGTTTTTTAGCCTCCAGCTCACACATTTCTGCCTTAGCTCAGGAAGGATGGGGCTCCGGAGCAAACTAATTCATGCAGTAGCAAAATCGCATTGCAGTGTTCCCTCTAAGCTGAGTCAGTGTGAGCCAGCTCACAGTTTTTTAGCCTTTGGCTCACACATTTTTGTCTTCGCTCAGGAAGGAGGGCTCCAGAGCAAACTAATTCATGCAGTAGCAAAATCGCTCGCTCAGAACTTTCATGCCGGTAGCTCACAAAGTAGAATTTTTGCTCACAAGACTCCACAGCCTAGAGGGAGCATTGCAGTGTTCCCTCTAAGCTGAGTCAGTGTGAGCCAGCTCACAGTTTTTTAGCCTCCAGCTCACACATTTCTGCCTTAGCTCAGGAAGGATGGGGCTCCGGAGCAAGCAAATATATGCAGCAGCCCAACTGCTCGCTCAGAACTTTCATGCCAGTAGCTCACAAGGTAGAATTTTTGCTCACAAGACTCCACAGCTTAGAGGGAGGATTGCTCCCAAAATCTCCTGCCCACTCAGACACAGCAGAAGGCCCCTATCGGATCTTGCGGGAGCAAGGAGATTCCCGCTAATCAAGCAGGAAACGCGGCTCCTGTGCTTGCCCAGCCACCAAGCACACCGGGGGGGGGCGGAGGGGGGGGATTAGAAGCAGAAGTTTAGTGCTGCCAAGAGCAGCAGTACAGAAGAGTTTTGGCGTAGCCTGCTGAGTTAAAGCACTTTGAATGCTCAAAAGGGAATTTTTTTAAAAAAAAAAGGCAAACGGTTCACTTTTGATGCCATCGTCACCTTGATTTCCAGCCGGCTGTGACAGATCGACACTCCTCCCGGGAAGGTTCCTGGGCAGCGGCTGGCCCGACAGGCAGTTGTGGAGCCTGCTCTCCGGGAGCCTGTTCGCCCTCGGCGGGGGGCCTGGGGAGCCATCGGAGCGGAGGATGTTCCGGATGGTCTGGATGCTTCGCAGGGAGGCCTCGGAGTTCAAGCAGGGCTTCGGCGGGCTGCTCTGGCTCCCTCCGGCCCTCTTCCCGCAGTCCTCGGGGTGCTCCTTCAGGTCTTTCAGCATCACGTTGCGGCTGCACCGGCTGCACTGCTCGGTCCGGGTGCCGCAGTAGTCCACGTGCTCCTGCAGCTTGTGGAACGCGAGCTCCAAGTCGCAGTGCTGGCAGGCGACGGGCCGCAGAGGGCAGGCCGAGGCCTAGGAGAAGAGAGCCACGTGGGTCAACAGCTGCAGCGCATCGCGCCAGGATGCAGGCAGACAAAGGCACTTCATAAGACGTGCGCTTCGGAAGGCCTGAGAGGGGGAAGGGCACTCTTGCAAGGGGCCGTGGCTCAGAGGAAAGGCATACCCCGTGCCAGGCTAGCTGCCTACAGCCAGGGGCTGCTTTCACGCAACCAGCACAGAAGAGAGCTCGGCGAGCATTTCAAAAGAAAAGGGCACCGTGAGCATTCACTCAACCCCTTTGCCACCTCAGCTGCTCATCGGATCCCACTCAGATAGTCTCCTAAGTTGTCCCCATGCACAAACTAAAAAAAAAACCAACACAAGAAAAAGTCCTTTGTTAAGGCTCTCCTATCTAAAAAGAAAAGGTTCCAGCCAGGCAAATATGCTCACAGAAAGACTAACATCGTGTGTTTCAGTGTCGGCTTTCACGAGTCAGAGCTCACGCCCGTACATCGGAAGACATGAGCTCCAACTCATATTGAAATAAACGTTGTTGGTTTTTTACGGTACCCCTGGACTTCTGCTTAATTTTGCTACAACAAAGTAACATGGCTACACCTCTGCAAATATGTTACTAGCCTACGTCGTCATCTGTTCAGCCTGAAACACTCAGCTCTCCTCTAGCTCACAAAAACCTGGAGGGCGGCCACAGCAACCAGGGCAATGGCCATTCCGTTGCAACTGCGCTCCCTTCTGCGGAATGGCCACGAATAATAATAATAATAATAATAATAATAATAATAATAATAATAATAATATACTTTATTGTCATTGTACATAGTACAATAAAATTAAAGGTGCAATCATTTGGTGATCTACAACCATACTCATACACTCACACTATTGGAAGAAGAAGAAGGAGAAGAAGAGATTGGATTTATCCCCCGCCCTTCACTACCCAAAGGAGTCTCAGAGCGGTTTACAGACTCCTTTCCCTCCCCCTCCCCACAACAGACACCCTGTGAGGTAGGCGGGGCTGAGAGAGCTCTGACAGAGGTGCAAGTGGAGGAGTGGGGAATCAAACCCGGTTCTCCCAGATTAGAGTCCGCCCACTTAACCACGACACCAAACTTAACCACGACACCAAACTGGTAAGTGACGAGGCCTCCCAAGTTTCAGCTCACTAACCTCATGCTCCGGTAAGTCGCCCCTTTCCATCTTCATGCTGCATTTACAGGTAACCTGCGATGGAAAAAAGATGAGCGTCAGGGCGAAAGGCACCTTCTGAGGAGGAGCCAAGCCAGAAAGGAGAAAAGGCGATGCTCCTCAGTCACCTGGGTGTGCTCCAGTTCCATGTGGCTTTTCATCTCTGACTTCGGGACGGGCTCCTGGCAGAAACGGCACACCCAGATGTTCCTGCTGCAGTGGATCTCGTGGATGGTGAAGTTCGCCACCGGAATGTCCTTTTTGCTGGCAAGAGACAGAGGGGCATTGAAGGCGAGGCTCCGGGGAAGCAACAACAGAAGGGCTTCGGAGCAATGCTTAGGAAACTGGGCACCGAAGGCCCTTTAATGGGAGTAAGTCCACTGAATAACACAAGACTTGCTTTCCACTTGACCTGTTTAAGGTTGTTCTCTTGATGATATCATGATTTGAGAAATTAAATGCACAAGGCTTATTTTCAACTAATGCTTGCGAGTCCAAGTGTAGTCTTTTACGCAACCTTCATCCGTGACTGGTTAATGGGTCATGGTAGGAATCCACACGGAGAGATGCTTCTCCTTGCTTGCAGCCGCCACCACCTCCTGTGGCAGTGAATTCAAAGAGTGATTGACACATGGAATTCCCTGCCACAGGAGGGGGTGGTGGCTACAAGCATAGACAGCTTCAAAAGGGAATTAGATAAGCATATGGAGCAGAGGTCCATCAGTGGCTATTAGCCACAAGGTATAGATAGGGGCTCTGGGGCAAGTGATGCTCTGTCATCTTGGTGCTTTTGGGGGTGTCAACAGTGGGAGGGCTTCTAGAGTCCTGGCCCCACTGCTGGACCTCCTGGTGGCACCTGGTATTTCTGGCCACTGTGTGACACAGAGTGTTGAACTGGATGGGCCTTTGGCCTGATCCAACATTGGCGTCTCTTATGTTCCTTTCCGGTCTTCCTATTTTCATCTGCCCCTTTTCCTTTGCCATCTAACTGACCTGCCCCTCCCTACAGGAATAAGATACCTCATGAAAGCTGAACTTAATAGCATTCTGGTCCCTGGTCCCAATCGGTTGTCCCTATCGGGCACCTCGGTCAGAAACAAGCCCGGAGCTGTTACGCCCCTAGTCGGCTCCCTGACCGGACACTCCAGTGCGGTCGTGTACCATGTTGGGAAACCTCGAGTGCACACTTGCCCGGTCACAGCAGGACAACTGAAGCGAGCCAGCATCACCACATTCACACTACCTTATTTTCCTCTCCATCTTGAGAAATGCCTCATGCTTTCCATCTGTCCTGCCTACAGAGTTGGCATCTATGAATGAGAGAGGCCCGCTGACATTTCCCATTCCACCAGGTCTCTGAGACACCCACCATGTCCGCAGTTGCTGTTCAGCACCGAGCAGTCCAGGTCCTGCACTGGGCTCAGAGGCCTCCGGCACTCGCCTGCAGGCACCTGTGCGTTGCTTCCCTCTCCAAGGGTCCGCACCTCCCTCGGCTCTCCTTTACTGCCCTTGCCCTGTTCTCAAACATACAAATTCCACCAGTAGAAAACGCCATCAAAGATCGCCAAAACAATATATTAAACCATTATGAAGTTGGTGGTGTCACAACGACGACATTTATGCACACAGAGCCCTTTAAATGGGACTAATCTAAATTGGATGCACCTGTTTCTCTCCCTGTGGAGCTTTAAATTGGCAGGCATCTTCGCCTGTATCCTTGAGAACCTACAATTCGCTCCTTACACTATAAACCTTGTGGTCTGTTGAAACTGCTGAAATCAGGGTGAGTGTATTTTTCAGGCATGTTTTTTTTAAAAAAACAATTCTGTTTTTCATATGTGTTTTTGTGGCTAGGCATTTGCGTAAATCTCTTCGCAGTTCCACTCACACAGCTGGCAAACTGAAGAAGTTGAAGGAAACACCTCTTCCAAGTATCTAGAATGGGCGTCTTTGCAAAGGCTGTTTGGAAAATGTTATGACTATGTGGACTCCTCCTATCAAGTTACCAAGTTACACTGCATACATGGACTTTATGTCTTATCTCTAAAGGAGGAAATATTATATCTTATGCCTTATTACAGTTACAGTATGCATAAATGTGGTTGTTGTGACACCACCAGTGTTTCCTATAAGCTGAGTGAGTGTGAGATAGCTCACAGTTTTTTAGCCTCTGGCTCATGCATTTTTGCCTTAGCTCAGGAAGGCATGGCTCCAGAGCAAGCTAATTTATGCAGCAGCCAAAACGCTTGCTCACAACTTGAATGCCAGGAGCTCACAAAGTAGAATTTTTGCTCACAAGTCTCCACAGCTTAGAGGGAGCATTGGACACCGCCAACTTTATAATGGTTTAATATATTGTTTTGGCAATCTTTGATGGTGTTTTCTACTAGTGGAATCTGTATATTTGGGAACTCCTATGATACTAGTCTTTTCCCCTTGTTGTTTGGATTTCCTTGCCCCATTCTCAGCTTCTAGCCCACTCCCACCAGTTGTCCCAATACTTTAGGAGACCATCCCTTTGGTATTAAGGCTCCCCAAGTCCTGTCAAAGGTCAAAGATTGAAGGTCAAAAGACAGGGACGGCAAAGGATGAGATGGTTAGACAGTGTCATAGATGCAACGAACATGAAGTTGAGCAAACTTCAGAGGATGGCGGAAGACCGGAAGGCCTGGCGTGATCTGGTCCATGGGGTCGCAAAGAGTCGGACTCGACTGTGCGACTGAACAACAACAACAAGTCCTGTCAGCTTTGCCCCTGGAGTTTGCCAAAAAGATGCTCTAGCAGCAGCCTAGCTCCCGTTCGGCTCAAATAAGGCCTGCCTCTCTTGTACGAGTTCAGTTTCTCCACACGTTGAATGGCCAGTCCAAAGTTAACAACAAGCAGAAAGAGGGCTGCCTGTCAGGGCCAAGAGGCAGGGGCTCTCTTGGGCAAAGGAAGCTCGTGCTTCCTCAGAGCAGACTGAGGAGGGATACAGGCAAATACACACCTGCGTGTAAATCAACTGGACTAACCCCGCTCCTAGATCATAGCAAGATTTTAAAATTGGGGAGCTAAAAAACAAGTTCTAGTTTTCAGCCTACCCTGCCCAACCCCGGATGGGCTTCAACGGCGCTGCAGGAGTATATTCACATTCTTTGAACACATTCTTTGAGCGGCTTTGGCGTCTCTGGTCAACGAGCAGAGGGCACAGCTTAAACTCCTCAAAGGATGCAAAGACCGGTGATCTGAGACCACTGGGAAGAGTACGCAGCTGAAATCTTTCTAACCCTCACCTTCACCTCATGAATGCTGAACTTGAGAGCCAGTTTGGTGTAGTGGTTCAGTGCGCGGGCTCTAATCTGGGAGAACCGGGTTTGATTCCCCACTCCTCCACTTGCACCTGGCTGGATGACCTTGGGCAAGCCGTAGTTCTGATAAGAGCTGTCCTTGAAAAAGAGCCGTTCCTGTCAAGAGCTCTCTCAGCCCCACCTTCCTCACAGGGTGTCTGTGGTGGGGAGGGGAAGGGAAAGGAGTTTGTAAGCCGCTCTGAGACTCCTTTGGGTAGTGAAGGGCGGGGGTATAAATCCAATCTCCTATTCTACACGAAGAGAGGGATTCTGAGAAACACTCAGATAACCAAGTCAAAAGGCTGACCGTGAGACCTGATCCAGTGGAGAGGAGACAGGGCTGGAACAAACCATGCCCCTCGGCATGCAGCCGAAGTCTACTCACCAGTTGCTGCACAGCTCGGTTTCACTTTCCTCTTCTGCCACCGCAGCCATCTTGCCGGCTTGTTCCAGGAACTGGGAGGAGAAGGGGAGCAAACAAGATCACTTTCTGTTTCCCTTTCCCAGGCCTGCTGACTTATCCCCCTCCTGCTCACATTCCCTGTTCTGATCCTCAAGACCGGCCACATTCCCCTGCTGCGGGCAGAATCCCAAAGAAATCTGTCTGGCGGTGGAGAGTCCTGTTGAGTCACAGTCAGCTTATGGCAACACCCTGGAGGCTTCTCACAGAAAGAGATGAATGGAGGGAGTTCTGCCACTGCCTGCCTCGGTGTGGCAACCCTGGACCACCCTGGCAGGGCTGACCCTGCTGAGCTTTGGAGATCTGATGAGTTCGGGCTAGCCTATGCCATCCAGGTCGGGGCACAAAATCTGTTCTACCTCATTGGAAATCAACAGGTTCAGGCAGAAGGCCGTAAACTGATGCGTTTCTAAAACCCACCGCAACTTGCAAGTTCATGACTCATGCGCACACACTCTAAACACACTGCTGCTGTTCTCCGTCTCCATGCAGCTTTACACACAGACCCACGCAGGGCATTGTTCAAGAGCTTCTAGAATGGAGCAACCAGGACCCTGACGCATTCTCCCCACCCCCTCTGTCCAGGCAAAAAGGCAGCCCCCCCCCCAACCAATGTTCCCGCTAAGCTGTGGAGTCTTGTGAGCAAAAATTCTACTTTGTGAGCTGCTGGCATTAAAGTTGTGAGCGAACGATTTGGCTCCTGCATAAATTAGTTGGCTCTCTGGAGCCATCCTTCCTGAGCTGAGACAAAAATGTGTGAGCTGGAAGCTACAAAACTGTGAGCTAGCTCACACTAACACAGCTTAGAGGGAACACTGCCCCCAACTGTTTAGAAGGCAAGTTAAAAAACCCAAAAAAGGACGAGGGTCACAACTGGAGACTTGCCCAAACACCCCCTCTGAGAGACACTCGTCTCCCCTCACCCCACAGGAAGGCTTTTGGCTAGGGACAGCCATGGTTTTCCATCATGGCTGGCACCCACCCACCCCCTCCCCCAAAAAACAACATAGGAAGCCACCAAATGGTCCAGAATTTCGAATTTTCAACTGCGTAATTGTTAGTAACACCATCTCCAACAGTGTTCCCTCTAAGCTGAGTGAGTGTGAGCTAGCTCACAGTTTTTTAGCCTCCGGCTCACACCTTTTCGTCTTTGCTCAGGAAGGAGGGTTCCAGAGCCAACTAATCTATGCAGCAGCCCAATCACTCGCTCACAACTTTAATGCCAGGAGCTCACAAAGCAGAATTGTTGCTCACAGGACTCCACAGCTTAGAGGGAACATTGATCTCCAACCTGTTTTAAGTTGGTTCTCATGTTACTGGTGTTACTTTAATGTTACTGAATTTATAATATTTAAAGTTTGCGTACTGCTGGACAACTGTCCCTAAGGCTTCCGCCACTCTGCACCGTCTTGTGGCATCGCCCAGAGCAAGTCCAGGAGCAACAACAACAACGGCCCGGGGTTGCCACCTCCAGGCGGGACATTCCTAGGGATCTCGGGGTGGTCCCCGTGTGGAGGGCGGAGGCCGGGCCCAGAATCTAGGGGTCTCCACGGAGCGCCCCCCCCCCTCGAAGCGGCCCTTTCCTCAGGGGGGGTCTCTCCGGGGTTGTTTGTTTTCTTTTGTAAATCCAGGGGACGTCCAGGCCCCACCGAGAGGTTGGCAAGCCCACTTGGAAGGGTGTCCGAGGTCAACCGTCGCCCCCCCCCCCATGGTGAGGAGGAGGAGGAGAGGCTCCTTCCTCCTCCCAGAGGGGCTCCAAGCGGGTCTCCCTCCTTCCCTCCCCCGTGACACCCGGTACCATGGTGGGGGGGCTGAAGGCCTCCAGAAACGACCCTCCCTGGGGCCCTTAACCGGGGGGGGGCAAAATCTCTAGGAATTTTCCAGCCCAGAGCTGGCAACCCTGTCTTCAGAGGTTTCACTTTGACAGCATGACACACTGCAGTTGGCGAGAATTGTTTTTTTAACAGCCATTTCAAAAGACTATGGCCCCGGTCACACAGGAGGATTTGCCCTGAGGGAGGGACGGATCGGGCGCGCGTCAAGCAGGTGTGATCATACCGCAACATCTGGGAAGCAGCGCGCACCCATCCCTGATCCGTCCCTTCCAGCCGAAAACCCGCCACCAAAAGAGTACTACCTCGCGACCCCATGTGGTGTCCCAGCGGAAGGTTTCGGAGTCTGTTTGCATTGCAGCAGCCGCCCTTGTGCAACGCTGTGCTCATTCTGTCGGGACAAATGTAGAACAGGTGGGGTGCAGTGTTCCCTCTAAGCTGAGTTAGTGTGAGCTAGCTCACAGTTTTTGAGCCTCTGGCTCACACATTTTTGTCTTGGCTCAGGAAGGAGGGCTCCAGAGTAAACTAGTTTATCCAGCAGCCAAATCTTTTGCTCATAACTTTAATGCCAGTAGCTCACAAAGTAGAATTTTTGCTCACAAGACCCCACAGCTTAGAGGGAACATGGGTGGGGTGGGGTGGGGGACGCGTAGGTCCTTGTCGAGAGGCCAGATCGTAGTAGCAGCCTCTGATCCAAACAGTGGATCCAAACCAGATTCAGAATTTGCTCCCTCGAAGCGGAGTCTCGTGAGCAAAAATTCTGCTTTGGTGAGCGACTGGCAGGAAACCTGTGAGCAGGGCCGGATTTAGGCTTGCTGAGGCCCTAAGCTATACAAAACCCAGAGGCCCCCTACTGTTTTAAATTACATCAGCTGGTCTCAGAAAAAATTAAAATAATGTACGCCTTTTTAATATTTGAAAATATATTGTCTTTTAATTTTTATTAAAAATAATAATAAAGGATGTGTTTACAAAATCACAGAAATAATTACATAATTAAAGGGTTTTTAAATGACAAATAAGGCTCCAGCAGATTGCGAGGCCCTAAGCTGTAGCTTATTTAGCTTATGCGTCAATCCGGCACTGCCTGTGAGCGAGCGATTCGGCTACTGCATGAATTAGTTTCCTCCGGAGCCATCCTTGTGTGAGGCGGAGGCAAAAAAACTGTGAGCTAGCTCACACTGTGGAAGGTCGGTAGTTCAGCAGTTCGAGACGTGCCGCATGACGGAGTGAGCTCCCATCTCTAGTTCCAGCTCCTGCCAACCTAGCCGTTCGAAAGCAAGAAATTGCAAGTAGATAAATAGGTAACAGCGTTCTGTGCGCCTTGGTGTTTAGTCATGCCGGCCACATGACCACGGAAACGTCTTCGGACAGTGCTGGCTCTTCGGCTTTGAAACGGAGATGAGCACCGCAACCCTAGAGTCGGACTCGACTGGCTTTCGAGCAAGGGAACTTTTACCTCTACCTCACACTAACTCAGCTTAGGGGGAACACTGTAGGCTGAGGCAAATGGTACAAGAAAGTTTGACCAGCAAATTTTTATGCTGGGTATAAGCTTTTGTGTGCTTGCGCGCTGACTCCAGATTTCCTTGGCAGTCTTCCATGGAAGTACTAAGCACTGCTGATCCTACTTCGCTTCTGATCGTTGACATGATCGGGCTCGCCTGGATTACCCAAGAAAGGATGGTTCCGCTAACAGGGGTGTGTTCCCCCAGCACAGGGGGAAGGCACCACTGTTAGCAGGAGAGATCAGAGGCGAGGTATTTCTGCAGGTCCTCTGACCTTCTGCAAATTTCCCTTCCCACTGGCAGCCCCTCCTGAAGGTGTGTGGGATACGGTTCTACACCGTTCAGAACCAACTCCTCTGGGCTGGCCATAAGGGATGTCATGAGAGGAGGGTCTGCCCCCCTCAGGGGAGGGCACAGAATTCTGGAGACTGCTGTCTAGGAGTGGACTTATGCCCCCTGTCAGAAAAGACAGATGGAAGTGAAGGATGTAGAAGAAGATTATAAATAATACACACACATTAAGTAAATAAATGCATCTGCCTTGTTGTTGCTGCTGTTGTTCAGTCGCACAGTCGAGTCCGACTCTTCGTGACCCCGTGGACCACATCATTCCAGGCCCTCCTGTCTTCAGCTGTCCTCCGGAGTTTGCTCAATTTCATGTTTGTTGCCTCGATAACACTAACCATCTCATCCTTTGCTGTCCCCATCTTCTTTGACCTTCAGTCTTTCCCAGCATCAGGGTCTTCTCCAGTGAGGGCTCCCTTCTCGTTTGGTGGCCAAAGTATTTGAGCTTCAGCTTCAGTCTCTGGCCTTCCAGGGAACAGACAGGGTTGATTTCTTTAAGGATTGACTGATTTGATCTCCTTGCAGTCCAGGGGACTCTCAAGAGTCTTCTCTGGCACCATAATTCAAAAGAACCTATTCTTTGGCGCTCGGCCTTCCTTACAGTCCAACTCTCACAGCCATACAGTACTACTGGGAATACCATTGCTTTGACCATGTGGACTTTTGTTGGCAGGGTGAAGTCTCTACTTTTTATTATGCTGTCTAGGTTTGCCATTGCTTTCCTCCCAAGGAGCAGGCGTCTTTTAATTTCATGGCTGCAGTCACCGTCTGCTGTGATCTTGGATCCCAGGAACGTGAAGTTTGTCACTGCTTCCACGACTTCCCCTTCTATTTGTCAAGGAGTGATGGGGCTGGATGCCATGATCTTAGTTTTTTTGATGTTGAGTTTCAAGCCAATATTTGCGCTTTCCTCTTTCACCCTGAACAAGAGGCTCTTTATGTCCTCTTCACTTTCTGCCATCAGAGGGGTATCGTCTGCATATCTGAGGTTGTTGATCGTTTTTCCCAGCAATCTTAATTTTGGCTTCTGAATCATCCAGGCTGGCATTTCGCATGATGTCCCCTGCATATAAATTAGATAAGCAAGGGGACAATATGCATCCTGGTCGTACTCCTTTTCCGATGCTAAACCAATCAGTTGTTCCATATCCTCTTCTAACAGTTGCTTCTTGACCCTTATACAGGTTTCTCAAGAGACATGTGAGGTGGTCTGGTACTCCCATCTCTTTAAGGACTTGCCATAGTTTGTTGTGATCCACACAAGCAAAGGTTTTAGGGTAGTCAATGAAGCAGAAGTAGATCTTTTTCTGGTACTCTCTTGCTTTCTCCATAATCCAGCGAATGTTGGCAATTTGATCTCTAGTTCCTCTACCTCTTCAAAACCCAGCTTGTACTTCTGGCAGTTCTCTATCCGTGTACTGCTGAAGCTTAGCTTGTAGGATCTTTAGCATGTGAAATGAAATCCCATGGACAGTAACAAATGGCATCTACCTACTAGGTGATAAAAAGTAGCTTCTTAATTAAGAATTCTGTCTTTGAACCAGAATGACCAGGGGAAAGCGCGAACGCAGTCCCCCACTACCACAAATTATGCAGTCGAGTTTCCGCATTTGGGGAAATCGCAGGGGTCAGCACACCCGGAGTGCAATGGATGAGCCTCACCCTGGGAAAACCACCTTCGTGATCATGGTGTCTCCCCTGCCAGGTAAGTATGAGTTGGGAGGGCACCGCCGCCCCCCCGCCTCTCACGGGCCCCAACATCCAGCATACGGTGGCCACAGGCACACCCCTTCCTGTCGTCTCAGCCCAGCACGTCACTAATGTCACTAATGCTGCCATGCTCCAAACTGCAGGAGATGTCCTGGGGGGCAAGGAGAGTCCCGATCTTCCCCTCAATTTTGTTCCCACAATGCACTGCGTCCACATGAATCTGCATACAGGCACGCCTCTCACTCCTTACCCAATTCGTCTATTCTATGCAGACCGCTGCATCCGCTTCAGTGGCCTTTCCATTGGCACTTCGGAATGGCAGGGCGGAGTCTCAGTGCGTCCTTCCGCCTGCATCTTGGAAGAATAAATCCCAGAGGGGCTCGCAATTGTTAGTCCGTTATAGCAAAAACAAGAGACGGACGGAGAGAATCTTTTGATATGTTAAAAGGCAAACAGGTTTTCCCATGGACAAGAGGCCGCCTGATCCACATCCTTCAGTTCTCTTCCTCCTTCCTCGTCTCCTGTTGCTTTAGCACACCTTTCTGCCGGCTGTTTTTCTGGAAGTAAATTACACAGGATTTCAACGGAATTTACTTTGAAGGAGAAGTGAAGTGCATTGGATCAGGTCATTCACAGGCTGAATTGGAGAGATTATTCTTTTCCTGGGGCATTTTGGAGGCTGCAGAGTACTAGAAAGCCATTTAAAACTTCTCCATTATCCTGCATGATGCTTTTCAGCGTGGGGTTAAATGCCTTTCTCAAACATCCGGTACGCAGAGGTCATTTCGTGGGGGAACGCGGGAGAACGCAGTTCCCCCGGTGAGGTGGGGGGGCACACGATGAAGCCCCGCCCCCTGCTTCCAGCCCTCATTCAGCCAGGAGGAGGCAGGAGAAGAGGGAGGATAAGTTGCTTCCACCCTGCCTCTCCCCACCCCTGCCTGCCTGGGGCCAGGGAGGGCCTTGGCGGGGCTTCCTCGCACTCCCGCCGGCCTTGCAGGTCCACCACTGGGCCCCTGATGTCAGTTGGTGTGGCATATGCTAATGAGTTCCCCTAGCTCTTTTT